CTTGCTAGCTACCCTAAAGACATATCTTTCACTTGTATATTCATTTCTTATTCATCATATATTTTAATAATTGACTCGTGTCTTTGCCCTTGATTTATCTGTTTTTTGTTTTTTTTTTTAAAAAAAATGATATTTGTTGTTGTATTGTTTACATCTTTTGAACATCTAATAAAAAAGGGTCAAATAATAATTAACAATGCACTACACTTGTTTACATCTGTTGTATTGTTCGCGCGTGTTGCTATTATACTAGTATAATACACCACATAGTAGATGCAATAATTGAAAAAACAATCAATTATTGATGAGTAACAAAATCATTTTGGTCGGCACAATATTGAATCAATTATTGACTACGAATGGGAATGTTCAACTCCGACGTTCATCTATTGGAGACATGATCTAAAAATGGCATCACATTCATATCCTCAATCTGATACTACTTTGCACACAAGTGTAGGATGTGTTCTACAGAGAAAATTGCATCATAGGAGATAATAACATATGGAGAAATCATTTGAAAATGGTAACTGAGACTGAAAATGAATTACTAGGGGTGTCAAAAGTAAACCTGATCCGAAAAATCGAACCCGTTCGACCTGAAATTTTTCAGGTTCGGGTTTGGGCATTTCGGGTTTGAAAAAAATCAGGTCAACTTGAAAAAAATCAGGTCGACCCGAACCTGAAACAAAAAAAATTCGTGTCGTGTTCGGGTTGACCTGATAACCTGAAATATCAAAATCACATTAGGTTTTGGGTTTCGTGTTTTGGGTTGACCTAAAATTTTTTTATTATTATTTTAATTTATAATATTTATATTATTTTAAATATAAAATAATATAAAAATAAAAATGATATTTTTTAGGTCAATTTAAATTTTTTTAAAAATTTTTGGGTCTGTTTCGTGTCGGGTTCGTACGGGTTTCGGTTGACCTGAACCCGACATGAAAAAATTCGTGTCGTGTTCGGGTCTAGGGTTTCAGGTCAGATTTCGGGTTCGGGTCGGGTTCGGATTAACAGTTTTTTTGTTATCTTCATGGCTCAGCCCGACACGAACACGACCCAAAAATACGAATTGACACCCGATGAATTACCTTCTATAGCAAGCGACGGAGAAAGATTTGTATAGAGTTAAATTGCAGCAATTCATATCAATCAAATTGGAGCAATTCCTACCAATCAGATGGATTCCACGTTAAACTTCATTCAATCAAAAACCAAAAGGCATATAAACAAACACAATTAACACATTAAGTTTCAATCAGTGAGATGTTCAGAAACTATACAGAAATATGTTAAAATGGATGTAAAAAATAGATTATGAACTATTCTCTGGAAGGAAAGAACAGAGAGATTCTGGAATTCTGCCGTAAAAAATGCAAACACAAAATCTTAAACCTTTAACTAAAACAATCGATGAAATCTCTCAAACATCAAGAAAAAAAAGAATAAAAGAAAATAAATCAGAACCCTAAAAATAAGAAATTACTGCAAAGTTTACCATGCCTCCGTCGCCATTGAAAAAAATCGTTTCATCGAACGAGCGTAGGGCCGGTGAGATGACAACAAGAAGGAGAAGAACAATCGTCGGCGACGGGAATAAGAATGGGTTGGGGGAAGAAGAGAACACCAAAGTCCACGTACGGGGAGAGAGAAGGGCAAAGAAGAGAGACGGGGAGAGAGAATGGCATAGAAGAGAGAAAAGATATCGTCGATGGTGGCATCGCCTGCATGATGACTAACTCGATTTTTAATCAAAATTCTATGGTTGAAATTTAGATCAGCGGGGATGAGATTTTTAGAAGGGGAAAAGAAAAAGCTTCGAGACAGAGAATAAGTACTTCTATTTATGTGTCGTTGTATGTGCTCTTAGGGGTGTGCATTTGATAGGTTCGGTTCAATTTTGATCGATTTTCGATTTAAAAAATATTTAAATCGAAATCAAACAAAAGTTTTTCAAAATCAAATAAATGGAACCAAACTAGTTCGGTTTGGTTCAGTATGAAACTGAAAAAAAAAAAAAAAAAAAAAAAAAAAAAAAAAAAACCGAATTTTTATTTATTAGTATATATTTTACTTATACAATCAAATACAAATACACAAAATTATAATATATATATTTATTAATATATAATTTTTTATTATTTATAAAGTTCGGTTATTTCGATTAACCAAAATTGTAAATTGAAAATTATAATCGAATCGAAATCAAAATTTATAAATTCATTTTGTACCGAACCGAACCAATTAATCGATCAGTCCAAACCAAATAGTCAAAACCAAATTTTTTTTCGATTTTTTCGATTTGAACCAACTAATGCTCACCCTTAAATATAGTTACTTTAGGGATTATATTCGATTAGAAAAAAAAAAAAAAAAATGGGTGGACTTTAAAATTTTGATGTATAAAATCATTTAGATTAAAAAATCTTTTAAAATTTGAAACTAAAATCTAACGGTATTTAATTCAGATTTTTTAATTTTTTTTTAAAAAAATTAGAAGTATTGAATCATCCAATTTTAAAATTTGAAACTAAAATCTAAATGTATTTAATTCAAATTTTTAATTTTCTTTTTTTAAAAAAAAATAAAATAAAATTAGAAGTATTGAATCATCCAACTTTAAAATATGATGATTTTATAAGATTTTAATGGAAAATTATATAAAATGAAATATTGCATAATAAACAGTTAGTTTGATAAATTTTTACAAATATAGTATTATTCCTCTCATCTCATATAATTTGTCTATTTTTTTTTTTATATTTCACATAATTTGTTTTTAATATGATTATACACTTTAATTACATTTTAAATTTTATAGGTAAAATTGTTTATAACTCCCATGTGGTTTCGAAATTCAGCGTAAAATCTCTCTGTACTTTAAAAATTGCACGGTACCCCCTTATACTTTAAAAAACGTTGCATAAAACTCCACCACCATGAAACTTTCCTCGTGTGATAAGAAGATGATTTTCTATCTATATGTTTTGCATGGCAGTGGGGTTTTATGCAATATTTTTGAAAGTATAAGTGAGCGTCATGCAATTTTTTAAAGTAAAATGGGGATTTATGCTGAGTTTCGAAACCACAAAGTGGTTTCATGCAATATTTTTTAAAGTATAATGGGACGTCATGCAATTTTTAAAGTAGAGGAGGAATTTATGCTGAGTTTCGAAACCATAAGGGAGTTATGGGCAATTTTGCCAATTTTATAATATTATCAATTTTAATTAAACTATTTAGTTATTTTAATCTTAATATATAATTATTTTATTATACAATAATTATTTTTACTCATACATTATAAGTAAGTAATAATACAAAATAAAAATATACTAACAAATTATTATTAATTCTTTAAAAATATATATATATTTATGTTTTATAAATATAATATAATAGTATTATTTTATCATAATAAATATATATTACAGTGGATTTTTATTTTCAATTATTGAGTATGCTATATTATCACCAAACGTGACAAAAATATATACGATTCGAAAATTTGATTCAACTCAGCATAAAAAAACCGTACTTAGACCTTAAAAACTAAACCCAAAATTTTTCGTGCCTAGCTCGGCACAAATATATATTGTAGTTCTTTATTTTTAAATATTGAATATATTATATTATCATTAAAGACGGCAAAACAAAGCACAGTTCGAAAATCCAATTCGAACTCGGGTATAAAAAAACTGTGCTTAGGATCGTACCCGACTTGGGCCGGCCTATTTACTATAATTTTTAAAATTTAATATATTTACATGTATATTAACTAATCAAATAATAATACAAATCAAGTTATATTTTATGGTAAACTTAACTTAAAAAAAAATAATAAGTTAATTAAAAAAAGTGAGCTGATCTAGCACCGGCCCGATGTGTGAAAATACAATATATATTTACATTTTTAAAAAATATAAATTAAAATAAATTGATATATTGAACCATAATAAAATAAAATTTATAAAATTAAAAATATTAATATGTAAAAATAATTATATTACTTAATAATGGTGAATTATAATATTATTTTATTATTAGTACGTAATAATAATATTAATAATTTTAAAATAAATTTAATATATATGATTAAAAAATTAGAATATATATTTAAATATTTTAAAAAATATGAATATGAATATCATTTTATAAATAATAAAATTTTTTATATTCAAATAGAAGTAAATCAAAAATACATTTAATTTATTTATTATTAATATAAAAGAAAAAGTATAGTTTTGAATAAAGATAAAAATATTTGATATTTTAAAAAAGATAAAAATAAAAGAGTTTTTAGTGAGTGATGTATACTGTTATGTAGTTAATTAAGGGTGTTTTTGTTTGAAGATCTGGATTTTGAGTTGAGATTTGAATAGTAAGAGTATTTTGGGGAAAAAAATGGAGTATTTAATGAAATAGTTATTTTGGGTATGTTTCCCAAGGTGGTTCGGCCTAATTTTACTGTGCATTTACTCTGCACAGTAAAATGGGCGTCAAACATAAATTTAAAATTTTATTTAATATTTATTATAATATAAATTTATAATCGAATCATACAATATAAATTTTATCAATTAAATTTAATATAAATTTATATTATTTTATTCATTATCCATCAAAACAATACACATCAAAACTCTCGAAACTCCAATTAAATCCAAACACAAAAAAACAACAAAATTCAAACTCATTCCAAAATTCAAATAAAAATTAAACACAAACTCAATTTTCTCCAAACTCTTCTAAAGAAAGACACCCTTGTAATTGGACGAAATATGTATATTTGTAGCTGAACGGAGAAAATATATTTTAATTTAATAAATTTTATTAAGAAAAGAGAAAGTTTGTAAATGGTTACGCACTGAAAGGGAGGAGGGAGCATTTTGGTAAAGAAACAGAACACCTTTAGTTTATAATTATACTAGAACCCGGCGCGCGCGATGCCGCGCCGATGTGTACAATAAATTTCAACTTTGATAATTGTTACGCACAAAAAATAATAATAATAATAAAAATAAGGATAGCAGGGTCTTGAACGAAGGTAGGACCCGAAGTCGGGCAGAAAAGTAGAAAAATTTGCGCTCAGGTCGGGATGACCTCAGGTCGGGAGGTCCTCAAGACGGAAAGTGGTCAGGTCGGGAAGTCCTCAGGTCGGGAGGTCCTCAAGACGGAAAGTGGTCAGGTCGGGAAGTCCTCAGGTCGGGAGGTCCTCAAGACAGAAAGTGGTCAGGACGGGAAGTGCTTAGGTCGGGAAGTCCTCAGGTAGGGAGGTCCTCAAGACGGAAAGTGGTCAGGTCGGGAAGTCCTCAGGTCGGGATTTCCTCAAGACGGAAAGTGGTCAGGTTGGGATTTCCTCAAGACGGAAAATGGTCAAGTCGGGACGTCCTCAAGACGGAAAGTGGTCAGGACGGGAAGTCCTTAGGTCGGGAAGTCCTCAAGACGGAAAGTGGTCAGGACGGGAAGTCCTTAGGTCGGAAAGTCCTCAAGACGGAAAGTGGTCAGGTCCGGAAGTCCTCAGGTCGGGAGTTCCTCAACACGGAAAGTGGTCAGGTCGGGAAGTCCTCAAGACAGAAAGTGGTCAGGACGGGAAGTCCTCAAGTCGGGAGGTTGCTGGCGACGGTTCCAAAACGTCTTTTCAAGCCAGTACAAAGGTAGAGTAAGGGCTAAATTGTCATTTTCGAAATGAGGGGCATGATAGACTTTTCAAGTTGCAGATCCGTACAATCTCGTCTTTTCAAGCCAGTACAAGGGTAGGTTAAGGACTAAATTGTCATTTTTGAAATGAGGGGCAAGATAGACTTTTCAAGTGGCAGGTCCGTACAAAACTCGTATTAAACGTACAAGGGTAGGTTAAGGGCTAAATTGTTATTTTTGAAATGAGAGGCAAGATAGACTTTTCAAGTGGCAGATCGTACAAAACTCGTATTTATATGATATAATAAATATATATATATATAAAATGTTTTGAGTGCATAAATAATTGCAGTTCGACACTGAACACTGAAGAACACTGGTCATCTTGCTATTCGCCAACCTATATGAGCATATTTCGATAACTGAAACATTTCAGTCCGCCACCCTAAAGCCTTGCAGCAACCCACTCCCACCCAAAATCTGCCGACTTCTCTCCATGGCCACTCTGTTTCTTTGCCTGTATGCTGCTTTCGCGCTCGTCTCAGCTCAGAGCGACCCCACAATCAAAACTATGGAGGAGTTTTCAGGGTACCGACTTCCCCGGCCGGACTTTGATGATTCCGCGCCTTCAGTGGACATCGAAGCCCTTCAGGGACAGGTATCCATCCTTGCCCAATCTTATGTTCATTGTTTGTTTGTTTGTTTGTTTTTTATTTATTATTATTATTTTTCTGGTTATAGTTTGGTCTAACTGGAATTGGATTTTGGCTGTGGTTCTTTATAATTAACGTTAAATTGATAGCTTGTTTGATGATAAATTTTATTTTGAAAAGATCAGTTTTAGTCTTGCGGCGCATTGTCTGTCTTCGAAGTTTTGGATTTATAGTGTTCGAGTGTGTAAAATGGTTTTTAGAATAATAGATTCTTCAAATAGTATTGGGTGTGTAAAATAGCTTCCAAATCATGAATTTTGTTTGTACCAGGCGATGAACTCTTAGCCCCCACTAGAACGAACAAGTAGGATGATTATATGGTTTTGTGAAAGAGGTTTTTGAGTAAAGCTAAATTTGATTATGAACAGAGGGGGTAGCAATCGGCCTGTTAATCATTTCTTTTGTACTTAAGAATAAAAAAAATGTAAACATTGTGAAAGTATACTATAGGCCGATTAGGAGTTGTTCTTTATTTATCTTGTGTGAGAAATGGAGCTTGTGAATGATTGGTTGTATTACATTTATCTAGGTAGGTTTGCATATGGTTGAAGTTAGTGACATGGTACATTTGTCTTGCAATATTCTAGATTGACGAATTATCCATGTTCTCGGATACACCTGCACCTTCAGTTACAAGGGTGCTCTATAGTGAAAAGGATGTTCTTGCAAGGAGGTACAGTGAGAGAGGATCTCACCTCTTTATATTTACTTGTAATAATCTAATTATATTGAGGTTTTGTACTGCAACAAACATGGTAGGAGGATACAAGAGGAGATTGGAGATGGGGATGTAACCTTGATTGTGCAAATGCTGTGTACAAAATTTTGCCATCCTTCACTATAATTTGGAATTGGCATTTGATATTGATTCGTTGATTTTTTTGGTTTTGTTGTTGTATGTAACATAATCTTTTTTGCAGCATGCTCTTGTCTAATTTATAGGTGTTGGAAGCTTGCATGTCTTATATTTATATTGCTTTGGTATTTCTTATAATGTGAAAAATGAATACGATTCCCTTAATCGCATTTTGCATCAATGACAGGTACATCAAGAGTTTAATGAGCCGTTCTGGTCTTGTGGTTAGAGAGGATTCCGTTGGGAACATTTTTGGTCGATGGTGAGAAACAGGTTCTGTTTGATCATTTTTGTTAAAAAAAAACAAAAAATACTTGATTTTATATTACCTAAGTGTCTATTTGCAACATTCAATATTGCAAACTAACAAACATTAATCCCGTAACCCCACATTAGGCCAACAATAAGTTAATTGCTTATTTCTGATGTAAACCTTTTTACACAGGGTTGGTTCAGAGCCCGACCTCCCTCCTGTTGCTACAGGTTCTCATATAGATGCCATACCATATTCAGGCAAATATGATGGCGTTGTAGGAGTCTTGGGTGCAATAGAAGCCATTAATCTACTCAAGAGGTGAACAGGCAGTATTATTCTCAATGTGTTGTATTTGTTAATGTTCTTAAATCAGTGAACATAACCCGAGAACAGAAAATGGATGTCTATATGACAGGCAAAATGTATGTCTATATGACAGGCAAAATGTATTCACACATGTTAGCTAACACTTTCTGCATTAAAATCCCTATATCTTTTTCATTCAGTTCATATTAGGCACATGCTTTGAAAAGAAGAGAAACCAAAACATGAGGTGATATTACACACGTAAACACGTATTGGAGCCTTATATTTGCCTTCAGAAGTTTTGCTTCTGTATATCACCCTGAGGGAATTTGTGTGTGTGTGTTTATATATATTTTTAATCAGAATCCAAAGAAAACTGAAAATAGCTTCTTTTTTTTTTTTTTTTTTTTTTACTTATACAGATGCCTTTAGAGATGATTGTGTGTTGTTCTGTTTCGTAAAGTAAAGCAGCATGTGGTTGATGTTACATCTGCTATTTTGAGATTGTTGGATGCCGTCATTTATAATTTTGAAATGACATTCATAGTTCCAGACGGATTTCAACTATTCAATAACTTGTTCTTTTCATCTCACTTGGAAATTGATGTTTAACAGGTTAGGAGTTAAGCCTAAGAGGTCATTGGAGGTAATCATGTTCACCTCGGAAGAGCCAACACGGTTTGGAATAAGCTGTTTGGGAAGGTCAGAACCTTATATTGTCTCAGTCATGATTCTTAAGGGTGTGTTTGTTGTGAGTTTCATTTTATTTCTTTTTCTTTGTTTGTTTTAGTATCTTTATTTCTTTTCCTACAAAAACACCATAGCCTATATATACCTTCCATACAAAACGTTACATCCAACATCTATTATTCGAAACACAAAATAAGAACAAAATTACATCCTAAACATTTGGTGACAATCTCTTATACATAGTCTTGCACGAACAATTTTATTAACCATGTGTACTTTCCAAGTCACATTTTTTATTTCAGTCTATTTCTTTCTTAATCTGGGGGTTTGCAAGTTCAAACAATTTTTGTGTACTCAATTTATTCAAAATTACGTTCTGAATTTTTAAAGTCATAAATCAAATCTGAATATGAATTTATATCAATTGTTCATTATGATATTTTAAATAACGAAATCTGTTAAAATCAAACTTAGAAGGTAAAATTTTGCTTAAAATTTGTTAGATATTAGCCGGGGATTTATGATCTAAAAAGCAAACTTTTATTCAATCCAAGAAAATTTTAAAAATACAAACTCTATTCTATATTATTAATAATCTTAGAATTTCTAGGTTCAGTTTATTGGAAATAATTCTGATTTCAAAACTCACTCCCTTATTGTCGTACTTCCTTTTTTTTGTTTCCTTTATTTTACATCCTAATCTTCATTTATTTATTTTCCTCTGTTTTCTCCTGTGTCTGGAAAAGTGTTTGAAGCTCATTCGGATCTTTGCAGCCGATTATTAGCCGGAAGTAGAGAACTCGTGGAACATTTAAAGTTTACGGTAGATGGTCAGAACGTATCGTTTTTTGATGCTGCTAATAATGCTGGATATCCCAACAAGGATTTGTCCAGTGTCTTCCTAGAAAAAGGAAGCTACTATGCTTTCATCGAATTGCATATAGAGCAAGGCCCCATTTTGGAAGAGGAAGGTTAAATAAGTCATGTGATGGTCTTTTATTTTTATTTTTTACTTTTTACAGAAAACTAATTTTTGTCACACTGGATAATGGACTAAGTCTGTTCTGTATTATTATATAGCTCTGCCAATTGGTGTTGTCACTGCAATTGCTGCTCCAGCTAGCATCAAAGTAGACTTTGAAGGCAATGGAGGCCATGCTGGAGCTGTTCTGATGCCAAAGAGGTATTTTTATTTTATCTCAGGAAATTGTTGCAGAAGAAATATGTACTTTTGCTAAATGTGTATCTCACTTCTTTTTTGTTGGGGAGAAAATATGTAGAGGTTTTCTACTTTTCTAGTGTTCTTAGCTCTATAACTGCAAAATCACACAAAGCAAATATTTCTAATTGGTATTTTAGAGTAAATCTACAATGCCATCCTGGATCTTCTAATGTTAATTGGATGCCACTTTATGGCTGTTAAAAGTCGGATTCTTGAAGTGCGTTCATTTATTTCTTAATCTTTATGATATGATTTGGGAGTTTTAGCTTTTGTTTTTGTTTGTTTTTTTTGCTTTTTTTACTTCCGTTTAAAACCAGAATATGCACATAAAGTTAAAACCAGAAGCACCGGCTAAAGATGTTGCATGGAAATTCATAATGAGAAAACAGGTTGATTGTTGGTGTTTGTAAAAAATTAATGAATACAAGAGTGATCTCGCAGCTGGTTGTTTTATCTTAAATATAAAAATTTAATTCAAACTTAAACTTTAATGAATATTATTGAACGAAATGAATAAGCTTCAGGAAGCATGCTGTTACCTGAAACTTGTTTCTTGTAAGTGTTTAGCAGCAGAAATAGGAACTTGATAATATCTGCAACAATTTTTTTGTTGTTGTATGTGTGTCTTATTTTCTTTAATGTTATGTGAAGGGGTCACTACACAATCATTGACTGGTGCATAAATCATTTGGAACAGGAACGATGCAGGGTTGGCTGCTGCTGAGTTAGCACTTGCAGTGGAAAAGCATGTACTGGAATCTGGATCAATAGACACTGTTGGAACAGTTGGTAAATAGAACCTTAACTATCTACATAGCATTTTGTTGGAATTATAAAGAATAAAAACTAGTTATACTCTGAGCAGCTAGATCAAATAAATTGCTCTTTTCTTCCATATGCTAGCTGTAGAATTATTACGATGTTTTAAAACATTTTTTATTGGATTTCATGGGTTCCAAAACTTGATGGCATTTACAAGGTATTCTGGAGCTGCATCCGGGCGCGATAAACAGCATTCCAAGCAAGGCACATGTTGAGATTGGTATGCTTTTTTAATTATGTTTTGGATAACTATGTGTTTATCAATAGCGCTACGGCTAAGAGACGGCAGCCGATCCTAATGACAAAGAAATTGAAATAAATTGATTAAGTTTTTACGAAAAAAGATATGTTTTTCAACTTATAGAAAAAAATTCAAGTGGTAAAGGGTGTTTGAAAAAAGGAAAAACTGATTCTGATTATTATTGGTGCAATAAAAACGATTTTTAATAGAACTTGCATAATATAATTGTGTTCTTAAGGATATAGTTGTCTAATGAAAATTATATTATCATGAAATCAAGAGGTTATTATTATGGCATTGGTTGTGAAGTTTGCAAATATTCCTAACAATATTGTTGTCTGTGTGCGCATGTTAGATACACGCGACATAGATGAAAAGAGGCGGAATGATGTAGTTGATAAAATTCATCAATCAGCTCTTAGCATATCCAAAGCTCGTAATGTGAAGCTCTCGGAATTTACCATCGTGAATCAAGATCCACCGGCGCTTTCTGGAGACTCGATCATCAAGGCAACAGAAACAGCTTGTCAGGAACTGAACTTGCCTTACAAAAAGATGATCAGCCGAGCATATCACGATTCCCTATTCATGGCCAGGTAACAAATCTCTCCCCATTCATCAATTCATGACCATAAAACCCTTCATATTACAAATGGGAATCAGTAAAACATTTTCGTGTGTGATATTCATATTTCATTTTCAGGATATCTCCAATGGGCATGATTTTCATCCCGTGCCACAAAGGTATGTCCAATTTCTTTTTATTTTGCACAAATCCTTGCCCTCTATCATCTAAAACTTCAATTATATGTTGAGTTCTGTTTAAATAACTTTCAAAAAATTAGCACAAGATCGAAAACATTTCTGCTTAATTTGAAACTTGAGCTTAGGCACTCATAACTCAATTCCACTTGACAAAAAAATACAATTAAGACATTCTACATTTGCTAGTTTGCTGGAAATCTGAACACATTATTGAAAAATTCATTTGGGATTGCATTTCATTTTGATAATTTTGGTGAGCTGCAGGGTACAGCCACAAGCCTGAAGAATTTTCTGCACCAAAAGACATTGCAAATGGAGTGAAAGTTTTAGCACTGACTCTTGCCAAACTCTCTCTGTCCTAACAGTGGTATGTATGAATATATATATATATATATATATGGATTGATTATCTGCATTGCCCTCTTTGATTAGTACACTATTTAATCAAATAATATATGAAGTTATTGCCTGAGGGGTAAAGTTTGAGTTGTTACTGTAATTTATTTGAATCAGTGAAGGCTTGTCTTAGTAATTTTAAGGAACACTTTTAGTTTTGAAAGAAAGTATTATTTAAAGGCAAAACAATATAATTAAAATTGTGTGAGACTCTTTATAGTTTCAAATGCTACACGATTTAACTCTTTTTTTGTATTAATTAACGGTGATTGCTTTACATGCTCCTTAGCTGCGGAGGTAATTCAAAAATTCCATAACTATGAACTCACCAGCCGAGTTAAACGTAGGGTTTTTATTAAGGAGTCTGACGCAATATTAAAACAATAGAATGTATTATGTAATTTTCATAAACCATAGGTGTGATTTATGTTATTTTATTGTATTTAAATTTAAAGTGCAATGCTTTAATGTATATATTTTTTTTAGTTTTAGAAAGAACATTATTATTATGCCAAAGTTGCATTGAGTTGGGATCTAATTGTATTATTTATTATAGGATTGTATTACTTCAAATTTAGTTCAATTGTTTGAACACATCATTCTTGACATAGCTAAAAAAAAGGTAGTTGATCAGCTGAAAAGGAGTGGGAAAAAAATGCTTTTAATTTTAGCAATTGAGATGGACAGTTCTGCTTAGTTAAATATGCAATTTTGAGTGAATACACTCTCTATGAAAAATTACGGGTTTGTTTGTTTAGTATTTTGATTTGAGGTATTTTTTATTTTTTTTTATGTGGAGTACAGATAATTGTGTAAATAATATTTTATATTAAGCATTAATTTTTCGTGAGACTATAAAATATGTGTATTATATAAGCTGGGAATCATGTCGAAAAAAAAAAATTATTGGGAGAACAATACATTATTGCATATTATATTTAGAGTTTACAAAATATGACCGAGTGTGTTTGCTTTTAATTTCGAAGAAAAGATATTATTATTCAATTAACGTAGTTTTCAATAAATATATATATATATATATTTGCAAATATATTACATGAAAATCTTATTTAAGTCAAAGATTGAAATCAAAATAAACAAACCTATAATTTCTTAGTTAGATTGAAAAGTGATGATTTTTATACAAAATTATGTTGGTGTGATGTAAATTATCTTAATAATAATGATGTTGTGGAATGGGTCCAAAGCTATAATAGTAAGTAATGTAATAGGTATGATGCTTCCCTTAGGGTTGAAGATTAATTGATGTGATCAATTGGAATTTGCATTTGTTCTCTTTTGTTAAATGACATTTCATCTCTTTCTTATGTTCTAATTTATGCTCATCTTCACTAATTATATAACTATCTTCAAATTTATTATTATTATTATTATTATTATTATTATTAAGATAAAAGATTAACTACATGTTTAAAATAATTCGGGGTTTGAATTACTTTTTGTTGGTGTGTTTGGATTTGGCTTTGATAGTGTCATTTTATTTAAATAGTTGTTAATGTAAATTTTTTTATGAAAAATATTGTATTTCTTTGATTTTGGCTTTGGGTTGTTTTTATATATAGTAAATATTTTATATTATAAATTTATTTTGATATGATATAAATAGATAGTTAATGTGATTTTTTTTTAATAAAAAATAAATTTTATATGTAACATGTGAGAACAAAAAATAAATATATAAGATAATATTTTTGAGAAGAAAAACAAATTAATGTATATATATTATATTAATGTGTGTATATTTGTATTTTTTTTAATAATATTTATGGGGAATTGCTCCATTAAAAAAATATTGAATAAACAGATCTATGGTAAAAAAATTAATTGTTTTGTTTAAAAAAAGAAACAACGAAAAAAAATCATGAATTGCATGATAAGTTAGTTCCTAAAGTTAATATATATATATATATTAAGTTAGAATAAATAATACAGAAAAAGTTTGAATTTTATACAATACTGAATATATATATATATTAAGTTAGAATAAATAATAGAGAAAAAGTAAAAATGTTATTGAATTCTATACAATATCGAGTGTATGTTTATTTTGTATGATTATACGATGGATAATTTTATTTTATTCACCTTATATAAATTATTAATCCTCCTCTTTTAAGTAGAATTAATTAATACTTTCTCTGTCCATTTTTGTTCACATATTTCTAATTTTATCTGCGTTTATATATATATATATATATCTAGTAATTGTGAACTCTATTATTAATTACTAATATTTTCTTACACCTATTTATTATTTTACTATCACTTCGTTATATATATATATATATCTAAGAAAGTAAAGATAATTTGATTTTTATACTATTATATATACTTATTATTATTAAAATACTAATATTTCTTAATTTGCTTACAAAAAGTAAATATAAATGTTAAAGTTAGAATAACGGAGTATAAAGTAATATTAATGTAAAAAAGACTATTTGGTCTTTTATTACTAGTTAATTTAGCATAAGCTATGTCATATAATTAAGGGTATTTTTAAAAAAATAATAATAATTATAATTTTATACAATGATCTATTAAAATAAATATTGTATTATTTTATCGTACAATTTAATAAATAAAAACTATGTATTATAATCTTATAGACACACCTGAAAATATTGTAGGGTATTAGGTTCGGCCGGAAGTTCACCCAGTACGTACTTTCGGATAGCGGATGCGGCCCACGTCATAATAAAAAATAAAAAAATAGAACTGAAAAAATAACCTCCTAGTTTGTAGATTATAACAATTTTCTTCTGAAAAAACACATTTTCAAAATTAAATTAAATTTTTAATATTTCTATTTATTCTCTCCATTGTAGTTCTAGTGTAATTGTGTTGCTCTAGCTAGCTCACAAAAAGAGTTGTGTTGGTTGGCCAACAACCAATTCCAAAATTATAAAAACCAAAATACAATAGTAACAAAAGCAACAAAATATTATATATATATATATATATATGTAATATTATCTACCAAATACCACACTTGAATTGGATAAACTTTTTTTGGGTTGGTAGGAAATGAACCTTTATCCTTTTTATAGCCACTTGCATATATATATATATATATATATTATTTTTATATTTATTTTTTTACTTGCTAATATATTTACAAATAAATATTAAGTATATTTTATCACTTCACTAAGTGCATTATAGAAAAACTTCCAAAAATATTTAAAGAGTATTTCCAAATTATGAATTTGTTTTAGGGTAAATTATATAATACCTTACGTGTTTTAGTAAAAATAGACAAAACACTCCGTATTTTATTTATTGCGTAAAATCTCCTTGTGTTAATGTAAAGTTTGCACGAAATACCTTCTTGTCCAAAAATGATATTTGATTATAATAAAATACTTAAATTACGCAAATTTTATACAAATAAAAAATATAAAATATTTTAAATAATTTTTTTGAATAAAAAATAAATAAATAATTGATCAATCATTTATTTTTATAATTTTCATAAAAATCATATAATAATTTGTTTCCAAAAATTATAAAATGAAAGATTAATTAATTATTTATTTAGAAAACTTTATATCTTATTTGAAAACAAATAGTTTAGAAATATTTATCTAAAACTTTATAAACTACATAAACTCCTACATAAATCCCTATTTTTCATTTATTTACTCCTCCGTCTCATAACTATGTATCTATTTGCTTTTTTTGCACGAAATTTTAGAAATATTAGTATTATATTGGGATATAGTATGAATAAAGTAGAAATAACTAAAATAACTTTATTAGTATTGTGTAATATAAATATAATGAAATTTGTGTAATATATTGTAAGTTGTAAGGATATTTGTAATGTTAGGTAGATATTACAATTACTAAGAAAATAAAATGGATACTTTGTTATGGGACGAATTAAAATGAAAAAAATAGATAATTTGTCGGGGGACGGAAGGAGTATTTATTTATTTTAATATTCAATCTCACAAGTTCTTATTTAAAAGAATGTTATACCACCATGTAAGCATGCATATGATGTACTATACAATCTTTAGGGGTTTGTTTAGCTTGTATTTAATTTAAATAATATTTTGATGTCATATTTTGAGTGATAATATAATATACTTTTATCAAAACTTATATAGATTAATTATTAAAAAAATAATAATAATTTCAAATCAAGACACGCCAATCTTACAAATTTATGTAGAAATATATATATATACATATTTTATAAAATATCACATCAAATCTATTTAAATAAAAAAAAAAAAATACAAAGCCAAAATAAAAAAATCAAACACAAAAGATAAACAAATTGATAATACTTTTCATAGGATGGAGTGGATTAGTTATGGTTGGTATGAGTGTGTGTTTAAGGTTTAGGTAAACCTCATTAAACCCTTTTATATAGACATTGAAAATTAATTGATATAGTTTCATTATACACGCACAAAAAAAAAATAAAAATATTTGTAACGGAATTTCGTTTTTAATGTTCACGTAGTTAACGTAATTTCATCCATAGTTCCGTCTCTAATATCATTAGTAACGGAAAAATGGTTTTAGAAACGAAAAAACTTCGTTACAAAATTGATATTTTCTTATAGTGATGGGTTTTAATATATATATATATATTGAAGTGTTAATAGTTCGATAGAATTAAAAAAAATAAAAAAAATAAAAAAAAAATAATAATAATAATAAGCAGAAATTAGAAGCATAAATAGAAGTAGTTATGTTTAGACAAATTTTTATAAAGTAATTATTTTTAAATATATATATATATATATTGGTGTAATAAAATTGAAAGTGCTTTTAAATTGTCTAAATTACCCAAAATGACATGCTAATTAAAACCTATTTTTTTTATTAAATTTTTCTAATTTATTTTTAAAAAAAATATAAATTATGTTTTAAAATCTAAAATCACGTAGTATAATTGAAAAATATATTTATTAAAATTTTTATATATCAATTCTCTATTTTTTACATTTAAAGATTGTATATCTTCAAAATATTACGTGAACACACTCATGGAGTCATAGTATCTTAAATTAAAAATATATATCAAATAAACTATTTTAATAATTTTTTTTTTTAATATATGTAGTAAGAAATTAAAATTAATAATATGGGCAAAGAAAGCCTTATGAATTCTCTATGTTAGATGAAAGAGATGTAACTTGAGTTTTCAAATAAATAAATAAATAAATAA